GGCTCTTGATACTTGATAACCTCTTGTGTAATGGAAACCTAGTCGGTCATCACCAGCACATGCACGCCACTATTTAGAGCTCTCTTGCCCTGTCGATAAAATTGGTATGTAAAATTGGTACGTTTACTCGAGTTATTTCCTTTGACTTGACAGACACGGTGGATGGACGAGTTATGTTTCCCTTTACTTAATGATAAGGGCTTAATTAATGGTGTGCATAGAAACACGCGGGGTGAGGGTTGAAACACGCGGGTGTGAGGTGATAACGTACCATTTGACTGATCGTTCACCCTCGGATTGATGATTATCGTAATTGCTAATTCTTTATTTAATCAGTGCTTCTTCTAGTTTTTTTCTGAAATTTTGTACGATTTTCCTAGAATCCCAGCACAATGATGGCCTCAAATTAAGGTCGTCTGAATTATTATCTTCCTATTTATAAGTAGAAAAATTTCTTATTATTTCTCTTCCTTCTTCTATACTGTTACTTCGCGTCTTATTATCTTCTATTTAATATGGAAGGAGTAGTTTTGATTGCATGTTATAATTTCTAATGAGCACGGAAGAGTTGAAAACAAGTGTGAGTGATAAGCCTGTAAGCTGATCCGTATTGCATCTAGCGGCCAATTAAATTCATCCCTTCACAAAACCGTGTCCACTACATCCGTGTATAAAGTATTTTGAACAATTAATTAACAATAGTGGTATTTCAAGGGAGTCCTTATAGCTTTGTTACAAAATAGTCCTATGAAGTGTTGGATGCGGGACACCAAATTTTGATGTAGTCACCAGTTGAAGTCAGCGGATAATGTATGCGTTGTTTTAGTCTGTAAGCTTTGTCTAGCTCGTAATTGACTCATGCGCTTGTTTGCTCTTCCTCTTCCAGCTCAAGCGTTTGACTATTACGGTAAGTTGGCCGCATCCTCTCGTCACACTTACATATATACATTCATACACTTTTTCCATACAGCGACAAAAAACAACTTAGCGACAAAAGCAACTTCACAATAAATAATCTTCTTGGACTCGTATCTGTACAGCATCTCTTGCATCCATATCACACACACACACACACATTCATCCACTTCTTCCATACAGTGACCAAAAACAACTTAGCGACCAAAAACAACTTCACCAAAAATAATCCTCTTGGACTCGTATCTGTAAAGCATCTCTTACATTCATTACACACATTCATACACTTCTTTCATACAACAAAAACAACTTCACAAACTCACACACATACACTCATACACTTTTTCCATACGATAACAAAAATAACTTCGCTTAAAGTATTCCTCTCGGACGCTTATCTGTACATCTCTTGCATTCATTACTGACCTGTAGCGCTGGCCCTCACTCCCTATTTACTGGCTAACGTATGTGGGCAGCGGCTCGCTTTAAACACTCCGCTTGCTGGGCTTAAAAGTGTTCACGATAATGGCATTATGGCTGACTTTGTCTCTGATAGTTTTATGTTAAAACTCACGTTTTCAAGTTTACGTGGTTTTAAATATCGAAATGAGTTTGGGCATCAATTATGTGGGCATTAATTATGTTCATCCGTACATGCTGAGATGACCTATGTCAATCATAGTGCGTGCCAATGATTACCTGTATTTAAACCTAGACTACACATATCTATCCTGCTCAGTATAACTAAATCTGGTCCATCGTATCGAATAAATTTTGTTCAGGTCTGGTCTGCTATCGTATTGTCTCGTGCAAGATAGTAGTTTGCTGCGTAGCTTGTTGCAATTAATGAATTTGGTACTGCAATGAAGGCTTTCTAAGTCATGTTTTTGCTCGTTACTATATTTAAAATTACCTTCAATATGTAGAGTTGGTAGCGTAATCGCCTCGTTTTGTAATGCCTGAACTCGTGCTGTTTTAAATTAATGGTAGTGGACCATGAGAATTTTCTCATTTTAGGAAAGTTGAAAAGCTTGCAAATGCGTTCTGTGTTTGAGCATAAGCTCAATATCTCTTATTTATATTTAGTGAATATTTTTCATATTGGTGCCTCATAAGTTATTCAAGGATTCTCTGTCAAATCGCATTATAAAATAGAAAATTTTGTGTATTATTGGGCAACGGGAAGACTTCAAAGGATAAAATATTCGACTTTAATTAGCTCTCGCTGCTTGTATCTTGTCATTCAGAATAATTTGCTAAATTTTTAAGACTTACTCAACGTAAATATTTAGTTTTTTCTATTGATTTATGTTCCGAAGACAGATCGATTTGTCAGATATTCCTTGAATTGTTGTGGCTTGACTTACCAACTCCCGGCCCTAACAAAAATTAGAGTCGCCCCAGCTTCTGTTAATCCAAATCAGAAGCTGCCGCGTCTGTAAATTTTCACTGGATCGTTCCCTAGCCGCCACCCCGGACGTACCTGCCTGTGAACCTCCCATCCCTCTCCTGCTTCTGATTTGTACTCATTCTATGCTAATACTCGTAATTGTTATAATATTCGTAAATAATTATTATTTATTCACTTGCATAAACATTTCCTTTAAATCTGTACATTTTGTTGTAAACACGACGTACCTACAATGCAAATCGGTTGGAAATACGACTTACCTGATCTGACGGTTGCCGACGTACGCATCAATTTGTTGGTTAACTTTCACTACGGCCTCGTCTTAAAAATTTTACTTTCTTTAAATGACCAATCGAAAAATTTTGATGCTAGTGTCACTAGTACTATGATGAGCAGTTTTGTTATTATACATTCCTTATCTTGAGTTCATGATTTAATTTGGTTTTGTGTGCATTTTTTATTATTTTCTGTAGAACTTCTGATGCATCATCTTTGATAATTCTCGCATTTTTTTTGTCGCAACTCGCAAATACGTAAATTCTCGCAAATACGTAAATTCATTAATGTTCATTTGTGACTGGGTTCGTTGTTGTTGTGTTTACAGTTTCACTGACATTACTTCGTTCACTACATTTATTCGTTTACTACATTTCTTCGTTTACTGCATTGTTTCGTCGACACATCTGGCTGCTATGACATCTCGTGTTCGGTCGATGACACACACCTTCGTGTTCGTGGTATATTTATTATTCGGTCGGTTGGCTCCTCCCTATTTATGATTCTCTCAGGACTATTGTGCACTTTTTTGGTTCGTGATATAATGAGCGGCTATTTGTTATTTGGCTCAATAACGTTTCAAATCCTATTTGTTCGTGCAAATGTTACTGATCGTTGATCTTCTATGCATGAGCTCTTGCATGTGAATTGTGTGCGGATGAACTGAGGGAAGTAAAGTGAAGAAATACTTTGTCTTCAGGAACTAACGGATTCTTTGCCGGTTGATTAATGATTACTAGACCGGATCTATCATCTATAACGAATGTGCGACTGGGAGTGCAAAAGAATGTTTGATAATTAGTTGGTGTGTGAATAGATGAACAAATAGTTGCCGTTTCATCTCAACATTCTTAAGCTCACATGACTGCCTCTTACATTTTTGTTCGTTTCGCATGCTGTGCACGATTGCGTACAATGCCTCAAGATACTCTACGTATTCCATTGATCTCAACATGTCTCCTTGCCTACGTTGTCAAGCTTCTTCACGCTTAACATCAGATTTGTAATGTATAAACGATGCATAAACTCTCTTTTTGTTTTTGCTACACATTGTTTGATCCCAGGCTTTGATGACTTAGCTGTAGCTTGGTGAGCGATTATATAAGTGAGGTAGTTTCCACAATGAATAGGATTAATTTTTTCCGAATGCAGGAGTTCATTTACGAGCTTTTTATCAAGCATTTTTCTAATTTGGCAGCCATATTTTAATCGTCTGTCCTAAGATTGGTATTCATATTGAAGTAAAGTGCTGTCAAAATCGCAGGTGATTCCGATTTGTATATAAATGGATTTGGAAGTGAGGTACTGTCACTGTCGCAAACGATTTCGATTTGTATTCACATGAATGCACTGTCTTGTCTGTAGGCGAGGTGAACCTTTTGCTTGACCGAGGTCATCACCTCTGTTGCTACTGCTTGAACTAAACCTATTTCGTACAAATTAACTCTTTAATAGATATTCCGTATTATTTTGTTGCACGGCTATGTTGTCTCATTGCATTTTCGTTCTTTCACCTGCGCTCGGATGTGCAAACATACCCTAAACCCGCTTTTTTTACATAATCTACGACGCTTCTTGTCGAAAGACTTTTTCAGAAATTTTGTGTTTCAAAATTAGGCCTTAATTTCGTTTTTCTTTGCAAGATTAGGCTTCAATTTCTTTGAGTGTTTAAGTTTCAGCATTCTTTGAAGGATTGTATTTTACTTCTATATTTTGACTTAGTCATGGTATTTACTACAACCCTAATTATCCTCAGCTTCTTAACTTATTATTATTTCACCGTTTAACTTGCTGTTTTATCGGCCTATTTTCTTATCTATAATATAGCTGATTTTATTCACTGGTACATAGCATACTTGAAATAGAGTATATGATAACCTCATTAAGAGTATTGTAGAAGTGAAACGTTAAGTCATTTATAAGGCTCATTGCTTAGCCTATTCAAAATATTACTCACCTGTGCTACACTGAACTACTCAAGTCGCCCTTTTAGTTGTAAGTGCACTACACTAATATCACCAGCAATTTTCTTATCTCCTCTGTTGGAAGTTGACTATACCATTGAATATTCAAAGTTTATGTTATCCTCTGAAAGTCAGGCTCCCATGTTCGCTGCGTTTTTAGTAACGTCCGAGAGCACTTGTACATGTGCCGTCGAAGCATCGCTTGTCCCCTGAGAAAGTTATCACTTTCCTCGTCCCTTTTATTGATGTGTGTGTAACTTGCATATCATTCGTAAAAGCATAGCGGTCTTTAAGGTCCTGTCTCTTCAATTGATATTAGACGTTCATGGTCATTTTTCACTAGCTCTTTAAATGAGTGTTCTGTTCTCTTTTTTTCTCTAGGGGATGGTGTCCTATGTCATATTCGTTCCAAATACCACACGATGCGTAAGTAAGGCCTGTCCTACAGCTCATTTTTAAATTAAACACTCATTATAGCTCATTCACTTCTTTACATAATCATTAAGTAGATGTTCATGTCGATTGTTGTGTGATTAGTTGCTTGTGTGTCATCAATAATGCTGACTGTTCCACATTGTAATCAATTGTCTTGAGTTCATAGATCACTTCAAGCACTTTAATCATGTGTGACGCATCGTATTGTCTACTCAGCTTGTCGTGTATGACTGATAAATGTGCTTGCAGAAGTAGTTTGAGAACAAGAGACTTGCTTATTTCGTTGCCTATGAAACAATATTTTCCAAATCTTTAATTGTAACTACATTTTTAACTACAGTTAGACGATAATCTCACGTTTGCTTTATAAGTACGTAAATAATAATGGTGATGAATGTTTGCGGGATAAGAGTGCGTACTTCTCGCACACTAACTTTATTTCCGTATTTGTTCTTGCTGCACTGAATATCACATTGCGTGAACTCTGCTATTCTTGGGAATGGAGTCTTGTCTTGATTCTTTTAAACGCTTGGGGAGGCTTGTGGCATTTGGTTGTTTCTGACATACACATCAGGCGACCTCATCAGCTCGTTCCAATTTGTTGGTCTTATAGACCTTCCTTGGCAACACCACAAATTGATTCTTTGGAACAATTGTCAAGGTCATTGGACAATTTTCCTCGCGACACAAGTAGTACTACTGAAAGAGAAAGTTCGAGTTCAGAATTAGAATCTTGTTAAAATTCAATGTTGACGTAATATTTGTTTACTGGGCTCTTATTCGTGCAGGACGTTTTTCCATTAATAAAGGTATATTTTTTATACACGTACCCCCACGTAGAATTCGAAAGGCTCAAAAACGAGCCGTATATCGTATATGTAACCTTGTTACAGATAGAAAATGGTAGCCGAGGGTTTAGTTTGTTTATTGGGGTTTCGAAGGAAATGGCCTACAACTCTCAATCTTGCCTGCTTCATCAACCCTGGATTGCGGATTGACTGCTCTCAGTATCACTTTGCCGTCTTTTAGTTTTTTTTAGTATGGAAGCCCCTGGGTATTATCAAATGAGCGTATATGATGTACCGGCTCGACCAATAATTGGCCGCTTCTCTGTTTTATGGACTAATATCTTTGCTTTGTTATCAGTGGCTTCATTGATTTTCGTATTTCGAGATAAACAATCCCCGTGAAAACTTGGCTGCTGCTTTTTTCTCGTTTAACTGGTCAAGTAAATTTACGTCACAGCATGCAGCTTTATTGCAACCACTTTTCAAAGTTTGCAAGCAATAAAATTGTCATCCCTTTAACTAAAAAATCCACCCCTTTGTTTCTATCCTGCATGGACTGCTATAACGACGTTCTTTATCCGCATTTAATCTCGTATATACTTCACAAATGCCACTGAGCGTCCGATTGAGTGTGATTCTGTGTTTAGTGTTAGGATGCAACTGGAGGTTCTGTTGCCGAGATCAATCACACAGGAATAATAGGAAATAAAAATTTCGTACATGTATCCCATATCCCTCTTATGTTGAGCTTGTGATGATCCGAATTTCGATTCTGCGTGGTTGTGACTGCAACAATTGCTATGGTGTTGATGAGGTTGTTCTCAAAATTTGTGTACATTTTTCCAATGAGATATTTGCCGATATTGATTGTAAAATTATTATAATATTTATTCAGCAAATTGATGCTAGTTTGGCCTTGTGACTGACTTGAGTTTTCTCTCTCCCCCCCACGAACACAAACACAAACATTCACATGCGCTCTCGTCTCACTCTGTATTTTTCCATGGTCTCTTTATCATTTAACTGCCTCTTATACCTCCCGAAATTTGTTATGTCAATCATTTCTCGTGAATAATGGATTTTATTTTGTGTTCTGGCTTTTGCTTTATTAAATCGTATTTGAATTGATTTGAATTTGAGCTGAGGACATCCATAACGTTTCCTAATCCCCGCCAATGCATTTAATTAATTATCACCTACCTTGGTTCTTCATATCATTTTATTCTCATTCCATCTATTGCTATTTGTTTGTTCCGGTGTTTGTTAACTAACCACTAATATTTTTTGTTCATTACGTTTTTTGCATTAACATCGTGGATCGTTATTTTAATCTTTGGAATATATTATGTTCGATTCTTCCCGTCGTATTGCTTGTCTAAGTCTCGTCTAAAATATTCGTTCCGTTTCAAATACGTTGATATTTTCATTGACTTGGCCTGCTTTCATCATGACACTTCATCATGCCGACTTATTTTTTCTCCTAATTACTCACACATGACCACACACGACAAATTCTCACGGCCTCTCGCGCCCCATGCAGACGAGTATAACCTAAACCCTGGGCTAGAGTGGGATGACGAGTTCACAGGTAGGTACGAGTCAGGCTCTACCCTCAGAAGTTACATCGTCCGTATTAATTGTCATCACTCAAAGAAATGACTGGGCCATATTGTCTGAATAGTGACACACTTGTGCATTCAGCATTGATACGCCGTTTTCCGGGCCAAACTGGGTCAGGACGATTCACATATGGCAAAAAGTGCATCGCTAAATGTCAATGTCCCATTCGTTTCTTTGGGTGTACACTGTGTAAATATTCGTTGTCATGCTTCTGGGAAATGAGAAGGCTGATTTCACTTAGATTGATTTGTTAAGTAAGTGGATTTGAACCTGATTTTGAAATGAAGTTCTTGTACCTGGTGTATATGCTGCAAAAACTTTTACTACAAATTGATAACGCTCAATGAAGTCTGGAAACTTTCAGCGATGGTTACTAACATAATGATGTTTCCCAATGTAAATACATATGCTATCTAACGTTCCATATATTAAACAATGAGATGTAGGAGTGTGAACACGTAATAGTGCATTAGCTACGATATTCCTAGAATTTCACGCCAAAGACAAAGCACAGGCACAGATTAGCACGTACTGAACGTCACTAGCTTCAACAGATTTGAGGAATTATTATTCACTTCATAACAGAATTTCGATGTCATCAAGTACACTCGATGTTATATGAATTTTGAAATATGTATATATATATTAATTTTCTCACAATTTCTCATGGGTTATGTGCGAGAATAAATATATCAGATAAACGATGGGATATGGTATAGAAAGATGTGAATAGTCAAGCCAAACAATAGACTGATGACGTCAAAAATGGCATATGGAGCTCCAGCTATAGCGTATCGTACAGACATTCGCCGAGTTCGCTATACTTGGGGCTGTAAATGACACCTAGTAAACTTAGTTGTGTTTGAAGCTTTTTATCAACCGTTTCGTTCTGACGTGTACTGAGTTTGCCTTGCTATGGTCCAACATGTCCACACTTAGTCAACTAATTAGCGCGTTGAGCTTCTTATTAACCGTACATGTCCACACTTAGTCAACTAATTAGCGCGTTGAGCTTATTAACCGTAGGTACATGTTCACACGTTGTCACCTAAGTAGCGCGTGGAGCTTCTTATTAACCGTACATGTTCACACGTTGTCAACTAAGTAGCGTGTGGAGCTTCTTATTAACCGTATAGTCCTGACGTATGACTCGCACCAAGCGGGAGAAGATGAGGACGCTTCTTTGACGATGCTGGACGGTGGTGGCGGCCCTAACAGACATCACCTGCCACCGGGTATCCTGACTACCGGCATGCCTCAGGTGAATATATTTTTTTCCTTGCGTCTTGTTACACAGAATAGTTAAAAATATAAATCTATATATACTGGTACATGCTAGCAGCTAGTATATATGGAGTAGTAGTGGCTTACTAGTATATAGATTATACTAGTAAAAATACTAGTATAAACTATATATACTAGTAGTTTTTTCTCATTTCGTATCTATCGTTCAATAGAAGCTATCTAATGCGTCACTTATGTCGCACTTGCCTGTCTCTTACTAGATATTTCGTTTCATTTGTGGGACGATTGGAAATATTTTTCTCTGTACAAAATGTAGATGCAGACTCAATGATGAGGCACACATCAACATACGATTTATTTCTATTTCAAGGTGCAAAACGTGCAACCTGCCGTTCTGACAGTGGAAGAGCAGATGCAACAGCAGCAACAACCGCCACAGCCTGACCCGCGTGAGTACTTTAAACCGTGGTGTTCATCAGTGGTTGATCTGTCCTTGAACTTGTATTTTTCTCCTATTGCTTGTTTTAATTGCTTGTAAAAATCGATAGCTCGTCCCGTATTTTGGAATCTTGCCATTCCGCGTCATATTGGATAGAACTTCTGATATAGTTTTATAATTGAGAAATGGTATTTATTTTGAGATTTGAGTTTCGTAAATAAACCAGCGCTAAAAGTAATAAAGGTTTTTTGAGACCATAATTTGGCGTTGAACTTGTCGTGTGTATTCGTAAAGGTAAACTTGAGGAAATGATTCATAGATATTCACGAAGCACACATGTAAATTCATTACCGAGTCAACTTGTTCACGAAACAACGTATTGGCAGCTCGTGATTAAACTTGATTTATTAACGAAACACACATGTAAATTTATTACCAAGTCTACTCTCTCTTGGCAGCTCATGATTAAACTTGATTTATTCACGAAGCACACATGTAAATTCATTACCAAGTCTACTTGTTCACAATACAACATATTGGCAGCTCGTGAGTTATCGGAGGCGGAGAAGCAGGTGATCATGATGACGCCAGAGTTCCATCAGTTCTTTGACCGCTCTACCCGCATCGTGGAGCGCGCCCTGGCTGAAGACGTGGATATCTTCCTTGACTACAGCCATGATCAGGACCAGGAGAGTGGAGGGTGCGGTAACTTAGCATTACACCTGAAATTTGTGTATAATGTTTATAACTACTTTTTAGTGAATTTTCTCATTTATGAAAAAAATGCGCTATTGTGCTCGTGATGTCCGTCTGTGACTCATGCTTGTCCGTCCGTGACTTCGTCGCGGACGGACGAGAAAATGCGCTCTCTGTCACTCACTGCAGTGAGTACTGATCATATTTTTAATTATTAGTATAATGTGGTACTGTCCGAGCGTCTTTTCAGTGACACTCAGATAAGAATAAATAATCTGAAGTTTTTTTAAACTGGATTTGTAACAGAAAAGCAGCATTTGCAACAGCATACGTTGAAACGTAGTGATTATCCACAATAACCGGTTCTATATATCTGATTTATTCATGCAATTAATCATTATTTTGCCTATGGTTGAGTACATTAATGATGTTTTTTTTCAGCCTGGACCAGAGCAGGCAGAGGTTGTCTCTGTCTCGCTGCTTCTACGACGACCGCTGGTCCCGCAACCGCTGCATCACCAGCATGGATTGGAGCCCTCAGTCTCCAGAGTTGCTTGTTTGCAGGTTACTAAAAACCTGATAGTGCAATTAAGCGTAAATTGACGTCATTGCTGCTAATTACATGATTGTTTCTCTGTAAAAAAAAAACGAAAAACCCAGGCATTTGTCGGGATTTTTTTTAGAATTTAAAGACTTTCTGTTGAAAAAAGTACATACATAATCGATATTTGTCCTGAATTTTTTGTAGCATTACTGATATGTGAAAGAACAGGACACACTTGCTCATAACTTGTCTTGAATTTTTTATTTTGGAATTCAACGATTTTTCTGGGGAAAAATATACAAACCCCGTTCAAATTTGTTATGAATATGTTCGGAGGTTGAATTTATGCTGGCTTTTCTTTCAGTTACAATAACAACGAAGAGTTTCCACATGACCCCGACGGCGTTGCGCTCATCTGGAACAGAAATTATAAGAAGACTACACCTGAATATATCTTCCATTGCCAGAGTCCCGTCATGTCAGCCACATTTGCTGGGTATTTAACTTTGTGCATTTTAGAGTAAATATTCCTCACCTCATCCTGTTGATAAGTGTACATGGGAATCTAGTTTAAGAAAAACGTCATGTACTTATATTAGATATTAAAAATTAACCTCTTGCTGTAAGTAATGCTGGTCAGAAGTTACCGTATGTCTATTTTAATTTAAAATGCTTCTTTGACGGCAACGTCAACTTTTTATAATTACATAACTGTTCACTGTCACTTCCTCAGTTGCTAACGCTGATATTAATAATATAAACGTTGTATAATATTGCATATTAAAGTTGTATGACTCGGGCAGCTTCCACCCTCACCTCATCATCGGGGGCACATACAGCGGCCAGATCGTCGTGTGGGACATCAGGACTCAGAAGCGCACGCCTGTGCAGCGTAGCCCTCTGTCGTCCGTCGCACACACGGTAACATTTATAACATTGCCATGGCTCTGTGTACGCTCACAGGATAGTAGTGTTGGCGTTGAAGAATAGGCAACGTTTTGCCTGTCGCTGATGCTTATATTGTTCTTGACTTGTCTCCTGCAGATCTGAAGTCTGGCCTTTTGACCAGATCTACCAAAACTGTCATTGAAGCTAATTAGCTGTTTTTGTGGTTCTCCTCTTTTCGTTAGCTCCTTCACTGCAATTTACGTTTCAATTCTCTTAATATGATCTGCAAATGTTTAGGTACAATCGTTTAAATGATAAGAAAAATTTACGAGCAGTCTCCCAATTTCACTTCTCTCGTTAGCCTCTATAATAATAAAAATCCATTTCATTGAATTGCAAAATTTTTATTATATGTTCTTGTGTACAGCATCCGGTCTACTGCATGAAAGTTGTGGGAACCCAAAATGCCCACAACCTCATCAGTATCAGCACTGACGGCAAAATGTGCTCCTGGTCCCTTGACATGTTGTCGCAGCCTCAGGTGGGTCGAATGAATTCAAATATACGTAAGACAATTTTTAGCGCATTTTCTCATTTATGGAAAAATGCACTATTGTGCACTGCAGTGAGTACTGATTTATATTTTTTGTTTAATTTACCGTTAAGAATAGAGACTAAGCTTATGGGCAATAATTAGAAAAGTCAGTTTATGTATTTGAGATTAACTGTCACATGAAAAGCTAAAGTTATTCATGTAATTTGGATATTTTCACCAGGAGAGCATGGAGCTGCAGCACAAGCAATCTAGGGCAGTGGCTGTTACGTGTTTGGCGTTCCCAAATGCTGATGTCAACAATTATATCATTGGTTCTGAAGAAGGCACTGTCTTCACTGGTAAGATAATATTTTTAATCGACTGATAACGGTTTGTTGAGGCTTTCTATGTAATATGTCATAAGCTTGATGTATTAAATCAATGAATATAGGTAGGTCAAGATTTAATGTAAAATTCTCCAGATATTTTAAACTATAGCACTAAAATTGAACAGGATTTGTTTTTAGCGCATTTTCTCATTTATGAAAAATGCACTATTGTGCTCGCCATGTCCGTCTGTCCGTCCGTGACTTCACGTTTTCGTCGACGAGAAAATGCGCTCTCTGTCAAACACTGCAGTGAGTACTGAGTTATATTTTTTGTTCTAAGATTCAGATGAAAATTTGTGTTTTATAATCGAAAATAATACACCGATTTAATTGTTTATTATATTATTCTGTTAATTGCTGAATGAGCGTGTGTGAATACATATTACCTCTTCACCCTATGACAGCTTGTCGTCACGGCAGCAAGGCTGGTATCCTAGACGCTTACGAAGGACACCAGGCGCCTGTGACGGGCGTGAGTGCGCACTCAACTCCAGGACAGATCGACTTCTCGCACCTGTTCCTTACTTCATCCTTTGACTGGACCGTGAAACTTTGGAGCATGAAGGTGCTTGCAACTAATATGCTATTTATCGCAACATGAAACATTCACGCAACATTTCATATTTATTTATAAAACAACATGAAACATACACCTGGAACTCGTGATTAAACCTCGCAATGAAACTCTCACGGGTTTGCAAAGTTTAGGCTTATTTAATGTATTTTTATTTTTGTCCATGGCGTTAAAAATAATGAGTTTATCGAGAAAATAATTAAGCGTTGAGATTGCCCTCAATTATATTTGTGATGGTTAATTTGAAAGGGAACGATTTATAGTAAGGTATTTAAAATAATTAGATATCTATGTTGATTTTCAGACTGAATCGCTGTTAACAATTTGAATAGGCGCGTAAACTCTCTTTATATACTTTTCGGGAATAGCTCTCTTCCACAGCGTCTTTTTTACATGGATTCAACCATAAAGAACTATCGAATTTCGTCCTGTACATGTACAGAAAATATTATATAAAAATTTGCAGAGGTCATCTATGGGTGACGGCGAATTCGATTTGATAATAGCAGATTATTTATGTATTTAGACAAGTTCAAATTTTTGTTGATACGTTCAAATTTTTGTGGTGTTCATTCAGCCTATCTTTATTCATACCTGCAGCATTGGTCTTTGAAGGTAAGAAATTCTATCAATCCAGTTTGTCCCTCTAATAAGCCCTTTCTATTCGCACTAATCTACACATTTTTTATGCCTGTCGACATTTGTTCAAAGTTCATATTTTTAGACTTTATTTTTATTTAATTGAATGCGTTGTGAAAGCTGCAAGACATAAGCCATTATCTTTCTTTCTCTAGTTGATCGAAAGTAGGGCCTACCGCTCTTTCTGTCCCTTTTACTTACATTTTTATCAAGATGAGCTTTGTTTGAATTAATTAATCTTCATTATTTTCGCTTAATTTGCCGATTTCATTTGAGCATGTGCTCGGTAAGGCATGCCTTTTGAATTGGTTTAATTGAGTTAAGATTTTATCAATGAAGTTAATTTTGAAACGAACTATAATAGCATGTATATTTATATCTGTTGATTTTTTCAGGAAACGAAGCCCCTGTACAGCTTTGAGAACAGTTCCGACTACGTGTACGACGTGGCCTGGTCCCCCACTCACCCCGCTCTCTTCACCACAGTCGACGGCACCGGCAGAATTGATCTATGGAATCTTAATCTCGATACTGAAGTTCGTACTACTTTCTTTATGTAACATGTCGAATATTCCACATGATTCTCATCAAGTTTCATTTTTTGAATTTTGCCATAACTATAATATATATATATATTTTTTTTTATTACGCCGTGTATTTACTGAAATTTTAATCTTGAATGAAACTTTACTGCGCCGATTCATCAAGCTGTGATTGGTTTGCAGGCACCCACAACAACAGCCAGTGTTGACGGAGCGCCCGCTCTGAACCGCGTCTCATGGACGCCCTCGGGCACTCAAATTGCTGTTGGGGACGATAGTGGCCGCGTGCACATCTACGACGTGGGCGATGTAAGTACTTCTATATTTTTCAAGTATTGTGTTGCTTTTGAAGAGGTTACAATCAATTTACGTGTTAGTAATACGAGTGGAGGCTATCGATACCGTTATGGTTTCATGCATACCGAAAAAAATTATTTTTGATGCAACATTTTTGTGAGACGTGTGTGAAATTCAATGAGACCGCGGAGCTATCCATCCTTGGTTGAAATTTGTATGAAATTATTATTGCGGTCAAAGCCACTTGACTTCTACCTACCATGTTAAATTCTGCCGGATGAAATAGAGCGAGCAATGGTCGGGAAATTAGAAGTATTTCTTTTGTTTGAAATGAATATTCTGGTTGACAATCTCGTTTCTCCCAAGCATTTGTACCAGCCAAGGCAAGACGATTGGAGTCAGTTGGTTCACACGCTCGGTGAACTCAAGAACAATCGAACAGAAGAAGATTCGCTGTCGCAGCGCGGATACGACAGCCCCATGTCTTCTCTCTCGTCGCTGGCGTCGTCTCCACTCCTCCGATAACCAAACCAATGATTCTCGCTTCCTTCCAGAAATCGATTTGTGGATCACACATAATATTACCGTTCATTGCTTCAAAGCATCTTGAAAAAATTTATTTGGTTACGTATAATGAAGTATACCTACATATTTAACGATATGTGTAGTATAGACATCTGTATGATCCGTTGAAGACCACTAAGTATTTTTGTTGACAGTTTATTTTATTGCATTTCTCAATTCGGCGAATAACGCTTCAGTAGTATCTCAAATTAGTTTTCTCTAATTCGCTAAATTGAGAAAAGCAGTAAGAAACGTTAATAATTAATACATTTTGGACTTCAACGAAACTTGAATTCATGAACTTCTTCCCAACTATACTAACATCTTTGAAAGTGCATGTCGGATTATAAACCAAATAACATTCGTCAAAATATTTCTTTAAGTTAAACCTGAAAAGTCTGTTGAATTTTAATCTGGAGTGAGGAAATAAGAATATGAATGAAGTCCATTCTTAGATTGATTACTCGAACTTCGGAGTATCGCGTGTGCTAATTAGTAGACTATTCGGCTTTAATTTAATATTAAACTTTTTTTCTCAGTTTAACGTATTAATGTTGTAAGTTATTGATTTTTTTATGCATGCTGGAGAAATGCTTTCAATCTCATGGTAAAACGCGAGTAAAATATTATATCAATATTAATGTTACGATATATCTCGATTTGATTTCTAATAAAATGTTATACGAAGTTGAATCTGATTTCAAATCTTGGAAAGCAGAGACGACTCAATTTTAGTTTCAGGATTTCATTTAAGAATCTTGTTCATGGAGACAGGAATCTAAATTTGAATAGTCCTCATTTCATAGAATTTTCTGCGTGAAATTTTGTAACGATTTTTTTTTCGGATGCCAAAACGCAGCACTCCTAAATTTCATAGTTTTGTAAAACAATAATAGAATGCAAACTACAATGTAATCTGATTCCATCAATTCAATTTACCAGACGAGAAAGCAAGATGAATGTCAACTTGTGTCAACCTTGTTTTTAAAAGGAGCTTCTAGACTCAACAATCGATTTCCCCTCTAACCGTCAGAATTAGAATATTCAATAAGATGCAAGACTATTGCACTCTTTCATCCTTAATTAACCAATAAGTAGGTTCACCTGTGAAAAACTCGGTCTCGACAATCTTGTCGTTGTCTCGTGATTGCAATGAACAAAATGGTTATAGAAATTTTCCTCCTGATTAAAATTTACGGTACTTTATATGCTCATGCCAAGACTTCTTAATGGCAAACTAATCGCACGCATAGCTCAACGAGATACCAACGAGAAGGTTATATAATTCATGTCTCATGTTTTTGAATATTTGTCGGAACCGAAGGATGGAAGAATATCTTCTCTACTGCATACCTAACCTTGCAGCGATTCATGATTCATGTCCTACTTCTGCGAAAGTTAAGCTATATATATAGAGTTCTAATCTCTTACAGAAGCGACACGAAAGGCAATTGAAGTAACTTAATATGGAAATTTTATTGAAAATGTCTCTCCGGACTTCATATTTTCATTTCAAAATTAAGCAACAAAAAAATTATTCACCCAGTTGTATCTACGTTTCTGCCGTAAATTTTGTGATATAAAGTTTTCAAAATGAAGTGTCCTCAACATCAGCACATGTGCTGACGAATCCATCAGATAAACCATCACAAGAAATTAAAAAATTAGACGAAAACCGTTCACAAAATGAACTCTTCATTTAAGTAAACGTTAACCGAGTAGAAAAACAGCCTCATTGAAAACTGCACAGTATTTTAATGCCCTTCATTCCTCTTGCAGCAGAGATCAATGAGCGAGAGAGTGAAATAAAACAAATACAACAACTTTTAAAAACCACGTTTTCTTAACGGACAAAAAAGAAAAACATTTACTCTTACATAACATTCAAGTTATGTAAAATGTTATGTAATGTTATGTAAGAGTAAATGTTTTTCTTTTTTGTCCGTTAAGAAAACGTGGTTTTTAAAAGTTGTTTTATTTCACTGTTTTTAGTTTTGTAAAAACCAGAAAAACGTGTTTTTTAAAAAATATTTTGTATATTTATTTATTTCCTACTTTTTAGTTAGCAAGTTTAGCAATTCAAATCAATTTCCAGGGTTGGCAAGTGTGGATGTTCGAGAAAAAACTCAAATCCAAACCGTGAATTTTTAGGTTTTTTTTTATTTAAATTAAAAAAAAATTTTTTTAATTATTATTTCTGATGATCAAATATTGAATTGTTAGGCAGCATAATCATGCATGCCAAATTTCAACTTACTAGGATGTTTAGAAGTGCTCTAAATTAAGGTTTGAATTTTTGATGACAAGACACACACGAAACGAAGTCAAGAAAAATGTGGTAAAATCAAACTGTGCTTGCCATAGAACGTTTTTAGGCATTTCCTTTCTGAAACTGAGATTCAATGTCGCAACAAAAATCTGTTTGAAATTGAAAACCCATTGTAAATTACACTTGAATTATTCGAATTTTACCGAGATTTACCTTGAACTATTTCACCTAATAAAAAAATTATATGTATGTATTAAAAAAATTAAAGCACTCATTTTTTACGTTTCGACAAATTTTCGAATTGCTCGAAGTCTTCAGAAGAGGAATTGTGTGGGGACGTTGTTCGCTTACTGGCTCGGGATAAGTTCTTATCGCGGTGTCGTGGTGCCGAGGAAGCTTCGTCTCGTGAGGGCTTTTTCTTGCTCGGCGACAACACACGGAATCCTTTGGTTTGCATCATCTTGGCACCAATGGCTGGAGAATGCGAGTTGATTAAATGTTACTGAAGTGAAATTTAAATTTCCACATGAACTAGTGAAACAACAGAAAATAATCTCAAGCAGTAAAACGATCAAGTTACATAAACTTTAAACGGATCATTTTATGGTAAAATTGAATTATGGAAAATGAACAGAAAGGATTAATTTCAGTTGATAATATACAAATACATCGATATGACCATAAAACAACGAATAATACACAGGCATCAAGGCTAGGAAAAGATCATCAAATACCAAGTACCATTTACGTGACAAACTTCAGCTACAGCTCCAGCTTGCAGCAAGTAGTCAAGCCATAAGATCTGCTTGGTCGAAAGGCGGTCATTCGGGCCTTTCACTTCAACAATGCGACTTTCCTGCAATATTAAAATGAATATGGTATAATAAATTTTAAATCGATCGACAAACTCAGAATTTAGCATAATTGAACCTAAAAACTATTGATTGCACAATAAGGCTGAGAACAAGTAATGCCCATTCTCCTATGTTCTCTCCTGCCGAGAGGAGGAATATCTCGGGAGTATATATTTTATGGTCTGAGTTGATGACTGTCATATAATTTGTTCCTATGACACGATGAAAGCTGCTAAGAAACAATGTATTATTGCAGATAGGGGCCCATAAAACATAAGCAAGTTCAACTTTAAGTAATAGAATCACTTTAGTGGAAGGATTCCAGACGACGAGGTCAGGGAAGCCAGAGCGGGTGAAGCGATGGTCGCGAGCGAGGCGGTCGCATATCAGCGAAACGACGGAAACACCCAAACTCAAGATCAGGTCCTGTGAAAAAAGACCAGGAGTCATAACCAATGTGAGGCGTATTATGCCATGTGAGGCGTAAAGATAATTAGGCTACCTATATTCACATGGCCAACGCAACGCTGTAGATGCAAACTTGATTATTTGCCAGAACATTCAATACTTTCTGATCTACTTGAAGAATTCATTCAACATCTTGTGAGTGTCTGATAGTACTGGTATCGATGGTTCATCACTCTACTATACTGTTATTTACAGATCAGCAATCATTTCTTTCCTCAACACAATAAGCTTACGATTCCCATAGAAAATAACTAATACATCAATAAATCGATAGGTATCGCTAATCTTGTGAGATAAATCTACCAGTATTTCCGCTGAGCTTGCCTTTTCTGTCTTTACCCCAGGTAGTTTTTCGAAGAGCGCTCTAAATTTTTCGACTTGATATGATGAACAAATCTAAAATGTAATTATTTATAGGATTTCATTCATTGAGTAATGACTAATGAGTATACCGATTCTTCGATCCTATCAACAAAATTCAAGACGTTCCGTTTAATAGAATACTTCGGACAGTAAATCTTTCCGAAGTTATTAATTTGCATCGTTGCTAGAATAATAATCAGAAAATGAGGTTAACAAAAATGGGGATCAGTAGACTACGTACAAGTATTTCCATACACTTCAGGCTTTAGATAGAACACAGAGCATGCAAAACCGTGGCATGCTTCTCAGACTTGAAGAGGTCCCAGTGCTCGATGTTGATCGGAATCAGTATACTACATACACGTAACTCCAGACACTTTTAAGATAGAACACCAAGGATGCCGAACCGTGGCATGCTGCTCTGACTTGAAGAGGTTCCAGTGCACGATATTTATCGGAATTAGTATACTACATACACGCAACTCCATACACTTTAGGCTTAGATAGAACACCGAGGATGCCGAACCGTGGCATGCTGCTCTGACTTGAACAGATCCCAGTTCACAATGCTGATCTCCCCGTGATGCTGCGACCAGACGCGCGACACGGCGTCAGCCACATCGCCATCCGTCATGCCCGCTACCTCGCGCACTCTGCCACAAAAACAGCAATAAATCACATATTTTCAATCTTAAATTTATAAAGTATACAGTGCCATTCCACCTTGAGAATGGTTTCGAAACAAGATAATAATAAGCGGAATGAATCACATTACTCAACAACATAGTTCTGTCGACGAATTTCGTCTTTAGAACGCGACAGCGCATTGATGGGACATGGATTAACGTATATAATTCTAAGAACGAATATTTGAGAAAATTATATACAATTCTCCATAATTGAATATTATCAAGCAAATTCGAGATATTAAGCTACATTTCGTCTAAACGCAGTGAAGGTAGAAAGGACAAAATGTACCGCTCATCGATGCTGATTTTTCTGGCAAGATAAAAGTTGGGGTAGTCGAGATCCAGCGGCACCGCCTGATGCACCAATCTCATGGCATCAGGCACTTCGCTCTCGTAAATGATGTGCCAAAAGAGCAGACCGAACAGTGAGTTCACTGTAGAGCCCTCCGCGTGTAGCCCTGTAAAAGGACGTAGAATAAACGGATTGCAAAAAAAAAAAAAACGGGTTTAAAGAAAATTTATGAGATGCGAATGTGGTAATCTGAAGAATTAAGCAAAAAATGTGGGATAAACTGGTCTTGAAAGAAAGATTTACTGAAAAGTAAGGAAATGAGAACGTGACAATCTGAAAAATCGTGCGCAAAAATGGTGTTGAATGAAATGTTATCAATTATTTTTTTCGTTAATCAAGCAATATATAGTGATGTTCGACAACATGTCCTCTCCAATTTTACTTAGAAATAGAAAAATATTGCGTTCGAATGTAGCGCTAAATTTTACATGATCACAAAACGTGATTTTTAGACTAAGTTAAACGAAATGAACAAACTATTCACTCCTCTTTTGTGATATTTGAAGCAGTGGCGCAACTACCTTGCGGGTAGCCGCGTTCCGCGTAGTGGCCGAGCGCGAGCTCCTCGACGCTGCACGCGACCACGTCCCCCTGCCCGGCGTGCACCGCTGAGTCGCCTCTGATGAACACTCGACGGAATCCGGACTTGTGGTCCCTAAGACACAAACGAAAGCCTGGTTTCTAAGACACAAACGAAAATCTGGAGCCGAAATATAAAAATAACTACGAATTTGTAACTCCGTTTGTAACGGAGTTTCAAGCTCCGTTACAAACGGAGTTCCAAGCTAAGGCCACAGACGAGAAAATGGTGGCTCCATGTAATTAGGCCGCTGCGTGTACTCAAGCAAATTTTGAGAGATTACGGGCTCTGGAAATCACTGTGCGTCGAGCAGGGAACAAATTTGAAATTTGGCGTGTAATATATAAATTAGAATTCTTGCACAATACAAAGAAGAGGCAATAGAGAATAATTCATAACTCACAAAACCTAAAAACAGATTGAACCAAAAATATAAATATTTTAAGTAGAATGATCAGTTGACTCACATTTCAAACGAGCGGCCTTCTATCACAACCCTCGGGGCTTCTCGAGGCTCCATGAACTTGATATCGGAGGGTACCGAAAATTGGCTCTCATTATCGTTGGCTTGACGTTGATGTTCATTGTTATCGACATTTTCATCATTGATCTTCCGTTTTTTAGAGGTTTTAATTTGCCGACGAGAGAAGGAAGTGATAAGTTTCTGCCCCCTACTGCTGAGAGTGAGGCGATGTCCAACACGCACTTCAGGGTCTCTTAAAGCTTTGTAAACCACTTCCAATGCCTGAAAAAGATACACCAAAAGGACTAAATGAAATTCATGTTATAGAAAGAAACAAAACTCATGACAAACCATGTTCACGGAATCGATAGCTCGATATCCGTCGAGAGTTCACATTAATCACATGAGAGGCGATTGATCAAACTTCGTTCTACCCCCATGCCGTCCCAAATTGAAGCCATCATTTCACAGCTTCCAATCAAGCTTGTGATTGGCGAGACTACAAAAGAAAATATCCAGAGGGCCCTGAACATCTTGAGTTGAAGCGCTTCAATACGACATTACTGAGTTTAGAAGCACTGACTGAGACTAATGAATTTGTTTGAAAATGCGAATGGACTTCATTCAAATTCAGAACGGGACCAGCACCAACTTACTTTTGAACTTAGTTCTTAACCGTGAGTTCAATCATCAGTGTAATCTAATCCTGTCAATCAAGAAAAATTGCAGCTATTTTATACCGACATGCAGATATCGATTCGGACAAACACAATAGCTCGTAATTTCCGCGGTAAAACGCACTGAGTTACTTGAATTCATCACTCACGAGGGGAGCTTGTACTCTGGTAAGCCGCGCGATCAATGCCTTTGCCTGCAACGTAGCTATAAAAGACGGCCTTCTCACGCTTTCTTATTCCACTAGGAGCGAGATTGCGGGTAGACCGACGCGTTTCATACAACTTCGCAGCGTTGGGTAAGGTTACTGAGGTATAATGGTGGCATATGTCAGCTACGAGCTATTAAAATTGAAGGATATGTAATATTAAAAACTTTCCATTAAACTGTTAGCAGATGAAGCAATCAAAATTTTTTACTTTTATTCACCTCACAAATGTATAATTTAGTTAATGACCGGGAGAATCGCATCGTTAAAACATAAAATTAAATTCGTTTCCTTTAATTTGTGCGAGTTCTCCACAATAAACAAAATTGGTCTGTAACTTATCTAAAAGAAGCACCGAAGTACATCCATTAGGACCCTAGTGCACTCATTCGCCAGCCAATAAAAAAAGGGATTTGCTTCAGGAAATTTTATTGCAGAAAAGATCAACACGATGATCGGGAAACTCAGCCTCGCACTAACCATCACAGCAGCATTGCTCATCACGGAGTCCTGCACTAGTCAGAGTTTGCGGGCGCTTTCCGGGTCGTTGCCGACAGACCTTATTTATTTCAAGGAAAGAAACCAATCGCGCTGTGAGTGAATGATGTCACGTCTTAGTATCCTTAGTTTACATGTTGCTGGAGGGTTAGTTGACATGTTGCTAGCAGGTTAAGTTTCAAGTTTGGTCAGTTCTCGGATTTTTCAATGTTTATTAGAATTAAAGACCATGATAATAATGCACGTGAAATATGTAGGTAATATAGTAACGCACTACGAATTAACGATGAAGGTTTATGTGAATAATGCGAATGAAATATGCATGAGAGAAGCATGGCTCTACGACTTAAGGATTACGGTAATTATTGACGATTTTCATGCAGGAAAAAGGCGGACTTATACTGCAGTACAGGTTTAGTCCAATCTTTTTTATCGTCCCACTCTTTCAACTAACGTAGATCTGATGTAATTGAACATACTTTGCAATAATGCGCAAAAAGGTATATACATCCAACTTTTGAGGCATAGGAAAATTAGTGGTCTTCAGCAATATAAGCACAAAGGTAGATACCAACTTTTAAATGTTTTAGAAAATTATTTGTCTCAGAGAACACATAATATGTCGATAAAAATGCTTTAACACGCAGGCGCGTGTCGCATGAAGTGCCTGGTGCAGCCCGCGTGTAAGGCGGTGACGGCTGACGCTGACAGTACCACTGGCAACGCCTCCACATGCCTTTACTCCAAGCTTGCGGTCACGGCAAGCGTGCTGCTGCAGTCTAACCAATCTAAAGCAGTGACCTTCGTCAAGTGTCAACGTAATATAATATTCAGTTTATTAAGGAGTTTCATTTCAAAATTAACAAAAAAAATTATTCACCCAGTTGTATCTACATTTCTGCCGTAAATTTTTTTCAGGACTCTATTAATATTATTTATTAAGTTTTACCATTAAGGACTTCATATAATATTATTATTATTCACGGAAGAAGATAACCCCTACGCATGCACCGAACTTCAAAATAACGAATTCCATTTTAGTGCAACAGGCATCAATTATATTATTTTAACATAAATCAGCGAATGATATTTTTTAGTAAAAATCTGCTCAATTCACTGTTGACGCATAGAAATACTGCATTTGGCAGATTGAAACTAAAGTTTCCGATGCAAATATTGAACATACTTCATTTCACATTAAAAATTGTGCATTTGGCAGATTGAAACGTAAGTTTAAGATCCATAAAATTTGAATAGCATACTTCATATCACATTAGAAATTTCTCATCATTTGAAGCGAATGCATTAGCAAGAGTTTGGCAGGAGCGGCGTGCGCGGCACCGTTTCGTGAGGTGGAAGGCGTTGGTTGCATCTACACGAGCGACCGCGCGGCGACGCTGCAGGAGGCTGAGCAGCTGTGCAGCGGGCACTCGCAGCAGCTCTACGCCCCGCCCACGGACGCCGCTCTCAAAAACCTGATCAAACTCATGCTCAACGAGAGCCGTGAGTTGGATTTTATCGTTAAAACCGATAAACGATTTTTTTAATTTTATCGATAATTTTCGATAAAATCGATTTTATCAATTAATTAATTTATCGATCGATTTTTTTTATCATTTATCCTTTTTATCTTGCTTACATTACTTACCACTGCTCACATATTGGTTTGAGATCGCGTCGATGATTTAGTCGTAAAATAGCAAAAACAAAATATATAATGCACCAAGTTCCAAATGAAAAATGTAATGTTCTAGGTACAAGTAGACCAACAGAATTATCGTCAACTAACAGAATTATCGTCAACTTGTGTTACAGAGAGCACAATGGGCTACTGGCTGGGATTAAAGCTCATCGAGGGCCAAACGCGCTCTTGGCAGTGGTTTAATGGCCGGACCCAAACCTCTGAGACGGGACAGGGATTCTGGATTCGTACAGACCCGAACAACAACGAGACCTGCGCCCGTCTTGCCATTCACGCCACAAAGCAAAATACCACGGGACTTGCGAGCACAGAATGCGACAGAGACTTCAACTACGTTTGTCAGATGCATCTTTGTGATGAAGCTTACTGATTTTTCAAACAATATTTGACATAGCATAAGCATTTCCTCAAGCATGGACATTGAATGGAAATGACGTTCGTCATTCAGCGTAAATCGTTTTTACCATTCTGGAGTATTTCAGTCGAGTTTGTATCAATTTTTTTGAACGATGCAAAATGGAACATTTTAATTTGCATACAAAAGACGTTATAAATTATAAATTTTTTGCTTCTAAATAAAGAATTTCAAGGAAGCAAATACAAATAAGTGTAAGATAACATGTAGGTACCAGTGAATGTATTTTGAGATGCTCTAGAAACAGACCTGTGAATGCATCTTGAGATGCTAGAAACAGACCTGTGAATGCATCTTGAGATGCTAGAAACAGACCTGTGAATGCATCTTGAGATGCCAGTAACAGACCTGTGAATGCATCTTGAGATGCCAGTAACAGACCTGTGAATGCATCTTGAGATGCTAGAAACAGACCTGTGAAGGCATCTTGAGATGCCAGTAACAGACCTGTGAATGCATCTTGAGATGCTGGTCCAGATTGAGAGCAAGTCTGTCGTACCAGCCGCCCCGACGGTCCTGGTGGTGTGTGTGCTGATCAAGCAGCTCCCTCAAGGTCTTCACTGCATCACTATACCTGTAGTATATGAATGTAACTTTCATATACGCAATGAATACCAGGGTTGCTCTCAAAGTGATATAACCTATCTTACTTGTAACAGATGTAGTGGAACTGTTAAATACGAAATGTACACCAGGGTTGCTTTTAAAAAATTTTCACAGTGTGTGACAAGGTCAATGTAAAGTAATGTAACTTGTGATACATAAAACAGAGAGTTTTATTTGATAATTTCCACACAGTTTAAAAAAATTCAAGTAAAATAAGCTGAACTGCTGCATCGAAATATGCTAGACACACAAATGTTGAATAAATGTAGCATTGAAATATGCTAGACACACAAATGTTGAGACACAGGTCGGCAAAGCTCATACTAGGTAGATGGAGATATTTATTGACAGGCTATAGCATCAAAGTCATTTCCAATCGAAGTATTTCATACAACTTAGAAGTAGAAAATTATTGTACATTGAATCTATATATTCTTACAAGAATCATAGATTTGAACCTTAGACTCAGATACGAGATAAATATTCGAAATAAAATAATTTGGTGAAATACGAATTTCTTATGTACCAGAAGAGTAGTATGTGAACCACGATTACTTATAACAATATATTATTTAGCAGAGAAGTATTATTATGTTATTTAGCAGACGACTATTATTATATTATTTAGCAGAGGAGTATAATTATCTTATTTAGCAGAGGAGTATTATGTGAATTATGATTATTAGGCTAAGAAAATATAGATTCACAAGTGGAATGTCGTGGAAGGAAATACTTCTTGAGGCGTTGGAGGGCTTCAACGCGGTGGACTTTGATGAGCACCAGCAGCGAGAGACTCGTATAGCGACGCAAGAACCGAGGCAGCTTAGCGTCGTGTTCACTGATAACCAAACATAATTTAGTAATGAAGCAAGATTGAAGTATTTATTTTTATTCCACACGTAGCACATGTACTGGTAATGATACTCTCATATGACTACTTCATAGCTATATTAAAAACAGAGTTATTCACTAACTCTGGAAAATTAGATATACAACTTCACCTGAAATATAAGAGAAGTCAACAGAAAAATATACATGACACAAGTTATTTTTTCCTAAAACCATGATGCTTCGAAATTAAACACTAAATATAACTTGGATACATCAAATTAATTCACAAAAAACTCGCCTTAGAACAACCAAAAGCAATGAAGTAACGAGATAGGTGACCAAGGGCTGTGCTTTCAAAAAGATTTACGATTTCAACCTAAGCCCACTATTCACAGACGATAAATTGGCTGCTACGTTAACTTAGGGAACTAAGTGAACTTAAACAGCTACTCAAACGTAGGGAGCTACATGAACTTAGGGAGCTACGTGAACTTAGGGAGCTAAGTGAACTTAAACAGCTACTCAAACGTAGGGAGCTACCTGAACTTCGGGTGTTACGTGAACTTAGGGAGATACGTGAACTTAAACAGCTACCTACTCAAACGTAGGGAGCTACATGAACTTAGGGAGCTACGTGAACTTAGGGAGCTAAGTGAACTTAAACAGCTACTCAAACGTAGGGAGCTACATGAACTTCGGGAGTTACGTGAACTTAGGGAGCTACGTGAACTTATACAGCTACTAAAACGTAGGGAGCTACATGAACTCCGGGAGCTACGTGAACTTAGGGAGCTACGTGAACTTAAAAAGCTACTCAAACGTCGAGAGCTACATGAACGGGAGCTACGTGAACTTAGGGAGCTACGTGAGCTTAAACACCTACTCAAACGTAGGGAGCTACCTGAACTTCGGGTGTTACGTGAACTTAGGGAGATACGTGAGCTTAAACAGCTACCTACTCAAACGTAGGGAGCTACATGAACTTCGAGAGCTACGTGAACTTAGGGAGCTAAGTGAACTTATGGAGCTACATGCACTTAGGCCGCGAGTTTTGATAGTACGACCCCAGTTCGGCAAATTTACGGTGCGTAAGACAATCCTGTGAGTTAGTATAAAATAAATGCTCACAGGATGTGAGGCTGCTGACGTAGTCGCTCATAGAGTTCGCAGGCGCGGGTGGTGACGTTAACTGCTTCTTGCCAGTCACGGTTCTCGAGGTGCTCCTTGACGGCGCTGTACAGCTCCTGGCATTCCTCAAACCTGCATTGCAGTACAGGACATTATTCATTACATCACGAATAATTGAAGATGTACAAGAAACAAAACTTAGCTTAGATAATGTTCTTTTTTGCGTGTACTTAAGAGACCAATGTCAACACATTGAAGCTACAGAAAGGATATTTGCAATCTATGCGACAAATATGCACTGTAACAACAGCAATCAAAAATACATACAATAGACAATTATAACACGATTGTGTAGTGGTGAATTTTCAGCACAACACAACATGGCACAGTTTAAAAATAAATAAATAAAATTGGAAGTTAATAATTGGTCTCGCAGATTATTTACAAAACAGCCTCGTGAATTCGCGAAAGAGATCTAGGTTCCAACACCACTCACTGAATAAGATCATCTCTGGAGCTAAAAATGTCAGCATGTCTGATCCTGACGGTGTTGGATGGGTACTTGACTTGTCCCAGATTGACTCGAAGTAGCGTAACAAGCTGATTGTTCTGACCAGAATCATCATCCTCGTCGTAGCGAGGTAGTGAGTAGAGCGTCAAGACTCTTAGTAGCACTCGACGCACAACATCTGATAGCAAGCAGCACGGCCCAAGCACCTCCTTGGCTCTGCTTTTCAAGTGAAACATCAGGCGAAGAAATCTTATAGATTTCAAGGTTTCAGGTTACTTAATTCAGTAAGCAAAGGAAATTGTCATTATTTACTTTGTTTAACCTATGTCGGCGTGAAGAGGTACAACTGTGAATAGAGTTGGTTCGATTACGAATGACGTTGTGAATTTAGGCAGTGTGGCAAGGCTTGAATAAATTTAATTATAGATGGAAATTCTTTCAAGATCTGAACTAGGCTTAGTAGTAAGACCTTTGTAGTAGAAGCTTGGTAGAGCAGGAGGGCTGGGCAATGCCTGAGAAAGCAGCTGCTATGGTGGGCTGAGTCTTGCAGTTTTGCAGCATGAATCTTGCCAGGTCATTCTTGCTCTTGCCACTTGTGTTCACCTGCTCAATAATTTTGCCTACTTTTATAATAGTTTCAGCTACTTTTATTGTGAAATTGTTTCTTGCTATATGCATGAAAAGCTAATGCATACTTCTACTAAATTATGAGTGAGAGCTTCGTGATACATTGGTGAGATGAAATAAACTCACAGTGTGGGTGAAAATTTGGTCGATACTTGTCATCTTTGAAAAATCATATCTCGAGATCTATTGGGACTAAAATCATGAAACAGTGTTCAAATTAAAGAGAAAGACTTGTATTTTCTGATAAAAAATAATAAAAAAAGTTATGTGAATATCCCGTTGAGTTATAGTGAGAAAAGTAAAAAGTTTGGAAAAAAACTAAAAAAAGTCAAATTTCCCTCTTTGTCACCTTTTTTGGGGGTTAAGGAACATTTTGCTAATCATCTATAATCTAATAAAAAATCATTTATAAAAATGAAGCCAATGATCACCCACTTATTTCCCATGTTGCCACACTAGGATGGGCAATACATACACACTAAATTAAGCTTGCAGAAAATTTTTTTATTGAAGTACATAAATGCATTTTATTCAACAATAAGATAATTTACACAATTTTTAATTCATTTTTTTGAGGACAATGCAATACCATAATCAAAAACTTATTATTTTAGTCTTTATATTACTTAATATAACTAAATTCACATAACTGCAAAATATATTCAATGACTGTTACCAACTTTTCCTTGATAAATTATCAGAATATCAAATAATTAAAAGTAGTGCTTTGAAGAATATCATTTATATAGGTAGCAGAAAATTATTCACACAGAAGCAAAGGATAACCAACCTTCATGAGCTTTGCTAAAGCAATTATCTCTTCTCCAGCAAGCAGAGATAAAGCTTCTTCAGGGCTGTCCAATTCATCTTCTGTAACAGGGAGACTAGTTTAATAAATTTAAAGTAAATGCACTAGGTATCATAGACAACATAAAGATTTCTCTGTATTGTGACTCGCTTCATCCACAAAATAATTTTTAGGCTCAAATGGATACCTACTAGACTTAAATGATTGAATATTCATTCATGAGTTAACATTATTTCATTTTTTTGCCAAGGTTATACAAAGTTTAATCTGTCCTATTGAAATATATTCTTAAAAGATAAAAGCCATTTTCAATTGTTTCCACTATTTCATGCTATAGTTTCACAGTAAAAGATGTAGGTTTCATACTGTACTGCCACCGGTGTTAGTATTCTTTAATGGGAAAAATGCCATAATGTGGGCTAATATATAGTATATCCCAAGTACCGTAGTATATATATATAATGCTTGTGAAGCAAGATGCAAGTTATTTAAAAAATTCTCTTAGTACACATTTTTCATAAGGTAGACTGTATTTGATGAAATATTTTACAGCGAATAGTTATAAATGATAAGGCTCAATGAACATCTTGGTTATAAAAAGTATGTAAAAAGTGAAAAACAAATGTTTTAATATCAAAAGCAGTTAGAAGTGATCAAGTGGAATCTGGACAGAACTTGAGAAAGATCAGAAAAGCTGGAAAGACAACTTACCAATAAGAAGATAATTTGCATAGCTCAATTCCTTGACATAGAGGATGGTATCTTCTGAGTCACATATATCCTGGTACTGAATTTTGGCCACACGGTTCCATTTGACTTTCCTCTGGAAAAGTCTCACAAACAGTTTTTTGGCAGCCAGGGAGAATGTTGAAAATGAAGAGAGCAAGTCTTTCTCTTCATCATTGAAAAGTTTATAATCAGGAGGACAGGATATAACAGAATCCAATATAGTCTGAAAATTTTCAAGATAATAACCAGTGTGCTCACGAAAGTTTCTTGGATCTTTATTTTTTTCAGGAGACTTTGTAGGGCTATTAGAGAATGATTTCTTTGGTGTAGTAGGTAGTTGTGAAAGATTTTGTTCTGATATACCTAAAATTTCAGGCAAATCACAACACTTGGATGAAAAACTATCATTCATATCACTAAGAATTTTATCCTCATTGGTCAGAGAATCAGAGGACTTTGCTGGAGACTGACTCTTAAACAGGTTTTTTCGAGTCTTCCCGGGAGATTTATTATAAGCTTTCATGTTTGAAGCCTGCAGTGGACTTTGCTTGCAGGATGATTTTTTAGGAGATTTCTGAGACAATCCAAATCGAGATTTGTTATATGCCACACATGGGGAGAGTTTTATTTTCTCTCTCTGCAAGGCTTCAATGCCAGACAAACTAGGAGACACTGTTACACTATCACTTCTTACTTTTAATTTTGAAGGAGATTGTAGAAGTTCATTGAAAGCATTGACAGTCAGAGAAGAATTTTTTGCAATGCTATTGCGATGAGATGAATTAGAAGCTGAAGATTGCACACCACCAGGGGAGGGACAAGGCTTTGAAGGTAGAGCTGATGAGGGGCACACCAAGAGTTTCTTGCAGGGGGAAGGTGAAGGTGTTCGTTCTGGAGTGACTAAACCAGGACTTTTTAGAGGGGAATATAGTGCACTGCTGTCCTCATCATCTTCTTCATTGATATCATCATCAATATCAGATAATTCCAGCTCTTCTGTTAAGATATCAAAATCATCATTATTTTGGTCATTAGTTCCAAGATGAGATCCAACCAGAGATGAACACCACTTGGAGTCGGTTGGTTGATTAGAAGTCAGAGAAAATGTTCGCCTCACAACTTTTTTGGTACTGTTTGATGATGGACCATTGTTCAGATAAACATGGGAGCTGGAGCCTGGAACCTCATTCCCCTTATGTATTCCAGTACTTGCATCATCTTGCAAGGAGTTGGAACCAAGTTTTAAATTTTGATTACTTGGCACTAACTTATCAGCTCCATCAGTTTTGGATTTCATCCTCAGATTTTTCTCTGAAGTTCTTAAATTTTGTGACTGAACCATAAAATCCTCAGAGTCTGATGAAGAATGAGAATTGTGCAATTTTTTATCCAATGGAAAAGTGCTAGTACTCTTAGCTGATTGAATAGAAGAACAGCTGCTGGACAAAACAATGTTTTGCCTGTTTATTGATGACAATCTAACATTTGATTCAATGTCAGCTTTTTCCTTTAGGCTTTCATTCCCTGAACAATTTTCATCACTGCTATAAAGAGGAGGCTTTTCTGTTTTATTGGATGTGGGCAGAGAATTACTATCATCAGCCCAATCCTTCAATAAATTGGACTTTGAATCATCAGTAGCAGTTTCCACTTCAATTTTATTGGGGGTTGAAGTTTTGGAACTAGAATCTTCTACCAATTGAGTTTCAACCATAAAAGGACTGATGTATACTGCTGAACTTTCGGTGCCATGGTAGTATTCTTCTGGCATATCAAAAAGAATAGGAGATTCTCCTATATTGAAATCTTCAACATCTCCATCAGAATCAGACAAAATTGAACTTTTGTGATTACTATAATTTTTAGTGCTAATTTTAGAAACATTACCCACACCCACTGTGGATTTTCGTTTGTTAGTAGAATTCCTTTTTTTCTTCTTTTTCTTGGATAGGATCTTGCTGGTACAATCCTGGTCTAAGTGCCAGTCAAGTCTGGCTTCTGATACTAGTTGATTGCATCCTGGACATGATAATTTCTTGACAAGAGCAGCACATGACACAACCGGAAGGCTGTCAACGTTACCATCAACAGCTTTACTGGTACTTGGCTTGAAGAAATCTAAAATAGTTCTTGTAGGTTTACTGGGAGTCCTAGATGACCCAGGATTTGAGCAGGATTTCATTTTTCAAATTGAATTGATTGAAGCAATAAAACAGACTAACAAAAAAAAAGCTGTAAAATAAATTCATGTAATCACACTCTTATATTATAGAAGAATATCTTTAAAAATTAATGCACCTATATATATGGGCTAAAAATTTAACATTAGAAAATCATGTTAAAAACAAGAAAAATGATAGGACTTGTGTAAAAATCACTGGATTTAATATGTGTGTGAATATCAATTGGTTTGGGTTGGACAGTACAAAGGAATATGTGCTAGATTATGAGATAATAAAATGTAACAAATTTTTGCATTAGAAATAGAGGTATATCTAAGAGTAACTGAAAGATACTATTTATGGGAAAAGGGATCGTGTGCAGTAAATAAAAATATATCCTGAAAAAATAAACAAACAGGATTGGATAGAAGTAGATTTCAGAAAAAAAAAACTATTATTCATTGCAGGCTGCATTGATTGCTGTTGTAGCTACCAAACTGAAAAGCATGATGTTCAATTGTGCCATTTAATTAATAATTACTCTCAATGATATGTGCATTTCCACTCAGCTCATACTATAGTACTGTCAAACAGGGTAATTAGGGACGGGTGGGGTAAATCGGGACATGCATCCCACATTTAGTAGAAATGTAGAAGGTAAACTAATCAAAATATTGCAAAACTAAAAATAGTGGCATAAACTTCAACATTTTTACCATCTATTATGTATAAAGCTAGTTTATAAATCATACATTTACTATCTTTATAAAATTGCTGAAAAAAGTGTGAAAAGTGCAATTTTGGAAAAATACTACTAAGGTCTGAAGCAAAAAATATATTCGCTGCATTAAAAAATTTTACTTACATACACTTTGCACACAGGTGTCAGCTTGAAAACACGATTGACAAAATTTGTCTATCTCATAAAAAAAATGGTAGCCACTTCCACACAACGGGGTAATAAGGGACACCCCCTGGGGAATAAGGGACACCCCTAAAAAGGCATTTGGAGTTCAATCCCCAGTTAGCAAAGGCTCCAGTTAACAAATATATTGATTAACAACAAAGAATTTTGATTACATTTACCTCGCTCAGCAAAAAAATTTTCACTTAAAAAAATTAATGTATCATCAGTCATTACAAAATTGTGCACAGAATGTCATAAATAGAATTGTGCACTGGGCATCAGAAAATGAAAAGTAATTAAACTAGTAATCTATGTTTTATTTCTCCAAAACATACCTATGATGGTTGTTTCTAAAACATTCTTTTCTGTTTCAGGTATGTTTTTTTTATAATCTTTTTTTAGTGAACTCACTTAAGGGGACCAGCTACCCTCCAGAAAAACTTCTACAGTTATTATCCAATCATCATGAGACTTCACATACATACTATGTAAAATGTAAAAACAAGAACATTTTGCTCCTAGGAATTTTTTGAAAAAACTGATAGAAAACATGAAATTCATAGAAAACGGTAGAAATCGGCTAAAAAGGGTTACTTTAGAAAATCTATCTCCTCCTACAAATATCATTCTACAACATCGAGACATGTACCGTAAACTGGGGTTACTTTGACCGGCAGGGTAACTTTGACAACTTTTCGTTTTTTCAACAAAAACCCCCAAAACTCAAAAACGATTTGACATATAAAAATTTTGTCAATGGCCATCAAAGGCCTAATACTGAGGCTACGTAACACAATAGAAAGATTTAAAAAGTTTGCATATCTAATAGGTTAAAAACTTAATAATTTGACCCACAAAAAAGAGCTATTATTTAAAGCCTGTAGGAGCACCCCCTCCAATTTTTTCATTTTTTGGTAAAATAACTCCAGGTTTTGATGCACTGTAGTAGAACTCTTCTAGTTACATATGCAAAAGACAAATTTTGGGAAAGTGTCAGTTTGCAAATGGGGGGCGCTGCCCCCCAATGGGGTAACTTTGACCACCTAATGGCAGCCTTTTTTTGGTAAAATAACTCCAGGTTTTGATGCATTGTAGTAGAACTCTTCTAGTTACATATGCAAAAGACAAATTTTAGAAAAGTGTCATAGTTTACAAATGGGGGGCGCCGCCCCCCAATGGGGTAACTTTGACCACCTAATGGCAGCCGTGACGGAGTAACATTGACCGGCTTGGAAATTAAGTTAAAATTACCATAGGTACCTATTTAACATATTTTATGTTTGATACACCTATTAATGCTTTTTTCTTCATGTTTCAGACTCTACAGACTCTTATATAGGGTAATTTCAACTTAATTTCCAAACCGGTTTATGTTACCCCGTCACAGCTGCCATTAGGTGGTCACATTTCGCCCATTGCCCCCCATTTGCAAACTATGACACTTTCCTAAAATTTGTCTTTTGCATATGTAACTAGAAGAGTTCTACTACAATGCACCACAACCTTGAGTGATTCGGAGTTATTTTACCAAAAAAATAAAATTGATTTTACCACCCGGTCAAAGAAACCCCAAGAGCTGGGGTAACAAAGACCATCACTTTTTTTGAAATTACATCAAAACTATGAGAGGCAGGAGCCAGCAATTTATGGTGAGTAAAGCTAGAGTATAGACCTATATTTTGCATGTTTCAATTTAAGTTTAACTTATCTAATAAAAAAATGGCATCATTATGAAAAAAAAAGTGGTCAAAGTTACCCCATTTTACAGTATCATTCGATTTGTAAAGACCATACCTATCGATTTGATAATCATTTTTCTCATTTTCCCCATAGTTTTTTTATGCGCATTTTTCCCATTTTTCTCATTTTTCCCCCCTCCACCTCAGGGGAAAGGCCCTCAAAACCGCCCCCCTTCAGGAAGCTATCACGAAATCATTTTTCAACGTAGAGAGATTCTGGTACCGTTTGATGCGTCAGAAAGTAAGCTTTGAGATGAGCACAAAAACCGAAAAATGCCAAAATTGAAAATTTAGGGGTAGCCGGTCCCCTAACCTAATTAAAATGGTGTGAAATTACATGCCATCCTGTAAGCTTACAGATACAGAAGGAATGCTATACAGCTGCTGCTATGAAGCTTGCAGTGGACAAGGTTGTTGTAAATGCTCAATGGCATGGATTGCCCTGTTCCCAGGGGTTAGGGGTAATTCAGGACAGTTTTATTTTGCATCTGGCACCTTACAAATAGCATATGGAATTTTTTTTGAAGATGACATTCAATAGCCCTCACAAAGAGCTATAAAATGAGCTAAAACTTGTTTATGAATGTTTCATGGTAAGAAGTTATTAACAAAAAACGCTCAAAACCGTCCCTTATTACCCCATTTGACAGTACCGTCAACCGGGGCTACTCTGGGCAGTTTTGAGCATTTTTTTTGTTAATAACTGTTAATAACTTCTTAGGATGAAACGTTTCATAAACAAGTTTAGGTTCATTTTATAGCTCTTTGCAAGGGCTATCAAATGGCATTGTCAAAAAAATTCCATATGCTATTCCTAAGGTGCCAGAAGCAAAAAAAAAAAGAGTGTCCCGAGTAGCCCCGTTGAACAAGGCTACTTGGGACACTTGCAATAAAACTTCATTTTAAAATATTTGAAGCATGAATAGTGTACTCATCCATTACTAACAGTACTCTGAAGTCCTCCTCTTTCATTGTAGATGATGTAGAGGTAGAATAAATGACATTTTCAGTGATTTTTACTTGTTTTTCCTTTATTGATGATATTACCATAAACATTAATTACCCTCAACTGGGGTGACTTTGGCTGTGTTTTTGATTTTGTTTTGCAAACAAAAACGGGGTCGTAAATGCCGGGGTCGTAAACAAGGTCATAAACGCCAGAGTGACTTTGGCCATCGTTTATGACCCCGCTTTTGTTTGCAAAAGAAAATAAAAAACGCAGCCAAAGTCACCCCAGTTGACCATACCATATTATTGATGTGATATTACTGTAAACATAGCATTAAGTGGAGCTTGCATGCATGTATGAAGAATTCTGTGTTGGCTCGAAAGAATGTAATATCCAGTATTAATGGGATATTACCCTATCCATGAACATGCCATTGAGCATTTACAACAACCTTGTCCACTGCAAGCTTCATATCAGCAGCCTTATAGTATTTTTTCTGTATCTGTAAGCTCACAGGACGGCTTGTAATTTCACACCATTTTAATTCGGTTGAGTGAATTTACTATAAAAAATATAACTCAGTACTCACTGCAGTGAGTGACAGAGAGCGCATTTTCTCGTCGACAAAAACTTGAGTTCACAGACGAACCAACAGATGGACGGACAGACAGACAGACGGACATGGCAAGCACAATAGTGCTCGTTTATGCGCCATTTTAATTGGGTTGAATGAATTTACTATAAAAAAAGATTGTGAAAAACATACCTGAGACAGAAAGGAATGTTTTAGTGACAACCATCATATATTTTGGAAAAATAAATTGTAGTTTAGGTCAATTACTTTTCATTCTATGATGCCCGGTGCACAATTTTATATATAGCATTCTATGTACAATTTTGAGACAACCAATGATGCACTAATTTTTCGATAAGTGAAATTTTTTTTGCCAAGCAAGGTAAATGTAATCAATATTCTTTGTTTTTAATCCATTGTTTTTCTTAACTGGACCCTTTGCTTACTGAGGTTCTACTGTAAATGCGTTTTTGGGGGTGTCCCAAATAGCCCCGGGGGGGGGGGGCCGAGTAGCCCCGCTGTGCGGAAATAGCCGCCATTTTTTTCAATGAGATAGGACAATTCAGTCAATTACGTTTTCAAGCCGACACCTGGGTGCATCTCCTATGTAAGTAAAATTTTTTAATACAGCAAATATTTTATTGGCTACAGACCTTAGCAGAAGTAACTTTTCAAAATAGCGTTTTTCACCATTTCTTTCAAAGCTATTAAATGTAGTATTTTTCAACTTTGTTTATACTACATAGATAGGAAAAATGTTGATGTTTACGCCACTATATTTCGTTTTGCAATATTCTAATTAGTTTTGCTACTATAACAGTTTCATGCCATGTCGGAGGACTGTCCCGAGTAGCCCCGCCCGTCCCGAGTAGCCCCGATTGACGATAGTACT